AACGCCTCTCCCGTCACCCCGTCTCCGTCAACGCCTCTCCGTCAACGCCTCTTCCGTCAACGCTTCTCCGTTAACGCGTGTATATCACGCTGCTGCAAACGCGTGATAGATACACAAAGTACTACTTGTTTTCTTCTGCCGTCCACCTTTCTGCCTTCCTTGAAGAAGGAAAAAAAAAAATGTACACTACTACTACCACTACGCGCACAACGCGTCATGAATACGCCATGCTACACCGTTCTCCACTAACCCCCATTCACACACACTGTGTCTCTCTGTGCGTACACCTAAACCCCTTGTACAATAAAACCGCAGTAATAACAACAACATCAATGTCTTCTGCCGTCGTTTCTGCCGTCGTTGCGGACCTTATGGCTCCCATATAATATGTGTATTCCGTGGCCTCCGCACCTCCCTCTCTGTGCTTCCCCTCTTTGGATCCTCACTCGGACAATCTCCGTTTACCCGGCCACTTCGTCGAATCGGTCTTGCACTTGGCCGCGTTTGCTCGGAGACAATGGGCCTCTTTCGTGCACGCGGCCGCTTTGGTCGACGCGTTTGCTCGGAGAGACAATGTGTACCTTCGTACACTCGGCTACAATGCGGTTTACGCGGAGGCGTGTCCTCGGAGAGACAATCTCGCCTTATACGCGAATGCGTATTCGCATGCTATATGTGTTCTGCACTGTACCCGTAGAATGCACGTGCGCATGTTTTAATAATGAACTTCACATAAAGGAGAATACCATCCCTTCATATTATTCATGTAAATCTACATTTTATATGCATTTAACCGGTACCCACCCAGTCCCCATGGTCATGTTAAAAGAAGTTGACTACATAACAAGAAACAAACAAAAGCAAAAGTAAGCACAAGCAGAACAGAGCAGAAAAAAAAAAAAGACGGTATGGAATAATGCAAACACGAAATATACTATGTATATCACATAATGAAGTAAAAGTGGTCTAATGGTAGCATGCGTTATGTCCCATGCATGAGCGCCGTCATCCGAGTGTCATAGCTTTTCCAATAGGTCATCCACATATAACTCCCTAGCCTGCAAACTGCGTTCGAGCTCGCACTGTTCTATGACTAATGCCAGGATGAGTATCCATGTTTTAGCGCATAGCGGCTTGTGGAGGTACAGTAGCGGATGCAGTTGCGAGCGCGGTGTATCTCTCACTCGTAGCAAGTCTTCTGCTGTCATTACATGTTCCACTTCTAAGTCTGTTTCTACTCGTGGTACGTCGCCTTGTTGCGGTAGTGTCTCCTCCTGTACATTATTCAACAAATGCTTAAACCACTCCTGTTCACTGTATGTACGGAGTTGCCGATGTTGCTGTGCGACCCATTCTTTCCACAACCGCAGTTTCGTCATGTCTGCGGACGGGATATGACCGTGCTCACAGTGTTCACTGTGGCCAGATACGTCGTGTGTCGCATGTTGTTGATAGTATTGTTTCCAATCCGCTTTTAATTGCAAAAACCACGGCTGCGTCGTGCACTCCTGCAATAGGTGCTTGTTGCGGTCAATCCAGTTAATCCAATGGATGCAGTCCAACGTCGCATCCCCGGGGTTGGAATGAGCACGACTCTGTTCTGCATCTAACTGTATGGATTGCATACACTTCCATCGGTCATCTTCGTTAGAAGCAGAAGGGTCCGCTGCTAACTGTATGTTGTCCATACAACGCCATGGATCGGGGTCATGTGGTGGACATGGATCTATGCCGTCGATGTCAGTGGGTGGATCCAGGGTGGATGCAACATTGTTCCGTGATAAAGCCTGGTTTGTGCTAGGAGCATTCGGGAAACTACTATGTCCGTTGTGGCCCCGCATAAACTGTTCAACGAGTATGTGCAAATAGTCGTGTTTGACGTTTTCCCATTCGGGTGCTTCACATTCGTGGAGCACTTCTAAGTGTAGCTCGATAATCGTGCGGCGATTCACGCGTGGTGGGCGTCGTCGGCGGGCGGCAAATTTATCGCGGCGTCGTGGCGTAACCATCGTGTACCCGTAATCGGGTGGCGGCTCGCCGCGTTGTAGATGGTCTAGAATGTCTTCGTCGAGTGGCGGTGACGGCACGTCACGAACGGTTCGATATGTTCGTCGTCGTTTTTGTCCGAGGTACGCAAAGTACTAAGCAGAAAAAGGGGGGTAAAGAGCAGGGTGAGGACGGTAGGATAAAAGGAATGAACGCGGGTGTAGGGGCATATTGATTAGAACGATCATATATTGGAGCCGGTTGGGATGTTCTGAGGTATAAACATCCTGCACATGCGGCATGCCCGCATTGTCGTATATACTTACCTGCCAAACGGAATAACCAAGGAGGGCGACGATGACGGCGGACAGGAAGAAGAGTACGGGAGTAGTGGCCGTAAGGACGGTGTCGGTTAGGTCGGGGGCAAGAGGGCCGCCTTCCTTAGGTGTACTGGAGCTTGTATCATGTGGATCGGGTGTGGGACCTGTTCCATAGGATCCTCCGAAGTTACCGTTTGGTTTTGGTAGTTCCAGGTTCAGTCCCCAGCTACCTCCGTCACCTCTTGTATTATCAGTACCATGATCCGTAGAATCGGGATCAGAGGAACCTGGGTTTTGGTGACCAGTAGACCCAGGTCCAGAGGAACCTGCTCCAGCCCCACCTCCCGTTCCTTCCCCCCCAGAAACTCCATCCGCCACATCAGCGTCACTGAAACTGCCACTACTACCCGATTGATCGGGGTTCGGATTCGGTTTTGGTTTGGGTGGATTGAGAGGAGGGGGGTCATCGTTGCCGCCACCGCCACCCTCGTGTTTACCGTCTTTGCCGGCTGCACCTTGTCCATTTGGTTCACCAGGAGTACCTTGTGAAGTCGTCGGACTGCCTGGCCCCGCGGGGCTGGATGTGCTCGATTCGCCGGATGTGCCTCTTGGTGTTGCTTCTGGTCCTTCTGCTGCTGGTGCGGCCGGTGCTGCGGCTGCTGCATCCGTTGTTGCTGAGGATCCCGAGTCCGTTGTACGTCCTGTAGCTTCCTTCTCTATGAGTGCAAGTATGGGGGGCAGAACAAGAATGCGATAAAACTGAGCTTTGAGGTGCATGGTTAGGTTGGCCATGCTCGGTTGCATGGTTGCTCATGCTGGACCACACCGTTATGACCACGGCGCGTCCGTGGATGGTTGACCACGGTGCGAACGGTGGTTACTGTGCCACCACGGGAAAAGACTCTCTCTGTCTCCCACACCCACCCACAACACACACAACACACACAACACACACACAGACACAGTGTGTGTGTCGGCCTGCATCTACGTCGTGCTGCAGATCGCTCACGCTCGGTCTGTCGCTGTCTCGCTCGGCCGCTGACTGCGCCGCTCACTCTCATTCGACGTTTGGTTGCTCGCTCTCCGTGGTTTCTCTCCCGCTCTCCGCGGAAAGTGTGGTTTCATTGTTGTTTTTTTTTTTTTTCTGTCGTTCTTTGTTCTCATCGGACTCACTACCTGGGGTACTACTTCCTGAGCAGCCGGATGAAGGACTGGTGTCAGTGAACGTAAGCTGGATACCAACATTATTATCGTGGAAGTCGGTTCTATGGACTTTCTTATCATTTATAGTGGTCACACAAGAGGGTCCATCTTGCTTACCTGCTGATGTATTCTTATCCTTTGGTTCCTCCTTGGGCCCCTGGCCGTCCTCTCTTTGTGGCGGTGCCGCAGGTGGAGGTTGTGGTACGGGTACTGGTGCCGCTGTGACCCTGTTCTCTCCTGCTGCGCCATCTGATCGTGGTTGTCCGGAAGGTGTTCCTGTTCCTACCCCAGATGCTCCTGCTGGTGATGGTGCCGACGGCTGCTCCCCGTGCGGGTCTGCTCCTGCTGCTTCTGCCGGTTTTGTGTCTGCAATAAGTTGTAATGAAGAAAAAAGAGTAGATGATAAAAAAAAAAAGGGACACAAGTGGTACAGAAAGAAGGGGGCCGGGACGGTTCGATCAGCTAGCGGCAGGTCCGGCTCGATAGAGTGTGTCGATGCAGTGGGTCGAGGTAGGACTCGGTGGACTGCGCACTCCGTGGACTGGGTCGGGATGGATGGTAGCAGTACAACTTTTATTTGTCGCCGTCATCTCGTCGACCCCTAGGCGCCGTTCCATCCGTGGCCGCTCCACGCGGCAATTGTACGTTCGCCGCGCAACGTCAGCGACGATTTGCTGTTCTCGCCGCGTGTGCGTTGTTGTGGTGGCGGCGACATCCGTATGCGCAGTCCTATGGGCGGTGCGGGCCGTATATTCTTGTTCGACCGCATTCGTATGCGTACTGTGCGTATTGCTATTGCCCGTATGAGTAGCACTCTGTTGCTTTACTCTTCTTACCATTCGCGGCGTCCTCTTGTGCATCCTCATCTTTGTCATCATCGTCGTCGTCCTCATCATCTTCGTCCTCATCATCCTCGTCATCCTGTTCTGAATCCTCAGCCGTCTGGTCAAGGCTATTCCCCGTTGCACCACCTATTCTTCCACGGAATTGCTTGGTGACGAGTTTCACAATATTCTTCGTCCCTCGCTGCAACTGCTTCATTATTGCTGCCTCCTCCTTGCCGTGCACGTCACCCAATTGTTCCTTTGTACCCTGGACCCCTGCTTTCTCGCCCTGCCCTACAACTTTGTTGCACTTGTTCGCCAGTTTTTCTCCTGATATTTTTTTCCGCAACCTCGTATTCTTTTTCAACCAATTCTTGATTGTTTCCTTCATGGACCACGTCCCTCTCTGTATGTCTATTTCTAATAATTTCTTACATCCCCCGTCTATACTTAAACCCTGAATACCACTCGCCCACATTCTGTTCATTACCTTCCATGCATTATGTATTGGCCACGTGCCTCCACATGCCGACTGCTCTAATATACTTGCAAACATGGTAACTATTGCACACTTTACGTACTCCTTTAACCTCACATTATTGAGTTGACTGCTATCCTGTGTTCTCTGCACATGCGTCGACGTCGACAGAAACCATAATGCTGTTGCCATAAGTTTGCATACAACTTTATCCCCTACTGTATACCCCACGTGCCGTGTGTTTTCTCCACCTCTCGGGTGAAACCAACCTTCATTATTACAGTTTGAACCCAAGTCCTCCATAAGTGACTCCTTCGTTTCCATATGTTGAATAAACTCTCCGAGCATGTCCGCTATATCCTTGTCTAAACTGACCTAAAATTTATAATTTGCACACGTATTCTGTAGCTACGTTCATCCGTATTCATTCACTCTTTGCATTCAAACACTCACATAGCACGACGTCGCTCGTGCTTATTACTCTGTCCTAAATTTGCGCATTGTAGGTTACAATGATATATGCAGTAACACACTCCTGCTCACATTTACACGTGATACCAACATATGTGAGCGCGTATACTGCTATACACGGTCTGGGGTCGCGTTCATAATTAATTACCTGATATCCTCCATCATTTCCCACGAGGCCCCTATCCTTCACATACTGTGCCAATATATGCGCTAACTCTGCCGACATTTTCCCCTAAGATCATAACGTGGACATCTGAATTAGCCTTGAAGCACTATAACGTGGTACATATCTTGCACAACAGCATCGCTCAGAACTTGTTGTTTACGCTATAAATGCCTCCGTCTTGGTGCTGTCAAAGAAAGGGGGGAAAAAAGTACACTACACTACCTTACATACTACACCGTCATGAATATACATCCGCCCCCCTTTCTACACCGGTCAGCACTAAACGCCTCGACTCACACTCTCGTCTCTGCGTATACAACAAAACCGCAGTAGCGACAACAACATCAATTCGTCCTTCTGCGTCCTGCCGCCTTGGCCTCCTCCCGCCCCTCGTGCTTCCCTCCCACATAATATGTGTGTTCCTTCTGCGTCCCCCCCCCGCTCTCTGCCCCCTCTCTCTAATCCCGCTCCCCGCCGCGCTCACTCTGCTCCCTCACGCGAATCCGTCCCGCGAAACGCTTACTCGAATGCGTCCCTCGAACCCCTTCACTCGAACCGCTTTCTTCGGAGACAATCGCTCCTCCTTCTTACACTCGGCACAATGCTTACTCGGCCACTTCGTCGAATCCGTCTTATACTCAGCCGCGTGACTCGGACAATCCCGTTTACCCGGCCGCGTGTTCTCGACGCGTGTGCTCGGAGAGACAATGTCTCCCTCCTTTCTTACACTCGGGCACTTCGTCGAATCGTTGTTACACTCGGCTACAATGCGGTTTACGCGGCCGCGTTTGCGCGGAGAGACAATCTCTCCTTATACTCGAATGCGTATTCGCATGCTATATTTGTTCTGCACTATGCGCGTAGAATGCACTTGCTCATCTTTTAATAATTAACTTCACATAAAGCAGAATACGACCCCGTCATATTATTCATGTAAATCTACATTTTATATGCACTTAATCTGTACCCACCTGTTCCTATGGTCATATTAAAAGAAGTGGTGTACGTAACAACAAACAAACAAAAGCAAAGGCAACAGAAGTGCAAAAAAGTAAACACAAGTAAGCAGAAGAGAGCAGAAAAAAAAAAGAAGGTATAGAATAATGTAAACCCGAAATATATTATGTATATCACATAATGAAGTAAAAGTGGTCTGCCGTTAGCATGCGTTATGTCGCATGCATATGTGCCGTCATCCTAATGTCACAGTTGCTCCAATAGGTCATCCACATACAACTCCGTCTGCTGCAAACGACATTCGAGCTCGCATTGTTCGATTACGGACGCGAGAAGGAGCATCCACAATTTGGCAATGTCGTGTTTCTTTGTATGTGCGTCCTGATGCAGTGGTTGCGACCGTGGTACATCCCTCACTCTTAGAACATCTTCTGTGCCAATTGCATGTTCCACTTCTAAGTCCTGTCCCACTACAGGTACTGCGCATTTGTGCGATTCTGTCTGCTCCTGTACATTATTCAACAAATGTTGAAACCACGCCTGCTCACTGTATGTATCCGTGCGTTTATTCTGTGTTGCAACCCATGCTTTCCACAACCGCAGTTTCTTCATCTCTACGGATGGGATATGGCCACGCTCACCGAGGGCACGCTGCGCGTTATGCTGGTGTGCCGCCATGTGCTCGCGCAGGTATTGTTTCCAATCCGCTTTTAATTGCAAAAACCACGGCTGCGTCGTGCACTCGCGCAACATATATTTGTTGCGTTCAATCCAAGGGATCCACTTTGTGTGCCAGGTGGGGGCCGAGTGCGCCTCCCTGTGGTTGGAATGAGCACGACGCTGTTCTGCGTCTAACTGTATGGTTTCCATACAATTCCATCGGTCCTCTTCATTCGGTGGACAACGGTCCCTTTCTAACTGTATAGTTTCCATACAATTCCATCGGTCCTCGTCGTTAGGTGGACACCGGTCCGTTGCTAACTGCATGGTTTCCATACAACGCCATGCATCAGGGTCATCTTCGTTAGGTGGACAAGTGTCCGTGCCGTCGGAATCGGTGGGCGGAGCCACGGTGGAGGAAACATTGTGTCCTGATAAAGCCTGGTTTGTGATAGGAGCATCCAAGGAACTACTGTGCCCGTTGTTGCCCCGCATAAACTCTTCAACGAGTATTTGCAAATAGTCGTCTTTGACGTTTTCCCATTCGGCCACTTCACATTCGTTGAGCACTTCTAGATGTAGGTCGATGATGGTGCGCTTATGCACGCGGGGTGGGCGTTGTCCGCGGCGTGGGGCGGCGGGCAATCTGCCGGGCTGCCTATCCCTAATCATCGTGTACCCGTAATCGGGTGGCGGCAGGTGGCCACGTTGTAGATGCTGTAGAATTTCTTCGTCGAGTGGCGGTGACGGAACGTCACGAACGATTCGATACGTTCGTCGTCGTTTTTGTCCGAGGTACGCAAAATACTAATCAAAAAAAGGGGGTAAAGAGGAGGGTGGGCACGGTAGGATAAAAGGAATGAACACTGGTGTAGGAGTACATTGAGTAGAACGATCATATGTTGGAGCCCGTCGGGATGTTCTGCGGTATAAACATCCTGCACATGCGGCATTCCCTCATTGCCGTATATACTTACCTTCCAAATGGAATAACCAAGAAGGGCGACGGTGACGGAAGCGAGAAAAAACAGCACGGGAGTAGTGGCGGTAAGGATGTCGGCGGTTAAGTCGGGGGCCAGGGGGCCATCACTTTTAGGTGGAACCTTAGTTCCATCCCATAAGCCGTATTTCTTTTTTTCTAATGTTGGTGGTGCGAATGACCCGGATACAGTGTTTAGTCCTGTTAGATTCGTCATGTCTAGTTTAAAGTCGCCCCCGTTGTAGTTATTATAGGGAGATTTCATTCCGGGCACACCACCCGGAACATTGATATCACTGTTATCCATACCAGGGGAACAGTTGTTGCCACTCTTATAGCACGGTGCACTCATGAGACCTGGTATATCAGTTGAAGGGATGCCGAATTCATCATCGTTCTTACCTGTGCCATTACTGACAGTTGTAGCAGTATCAACTGTAGTGTCCTTTGCGGAATTACCTTGGGAATCAGGGGGATCTGCGGGATCGCTATCACCACTGTTTCCCACATAGGAAGTATCCACCACTGTGGTCTGCACCTTATTCCCGTCAGCCCCGACAGCAGGTGCACGACCAGCAGATGGTCCACCTTCTGCGCCACTGGATGCTGTTGTTGCTGCTGGTTGCGCCGGTGCGGGTTCTGCTGGTACCTGGGGGTCCGTGGTACTTGTATGTCCTGTAGCGTCGTTACCTATAAGTTGGAACAACCAGCAGAATGTGGATAAAACTGAAGTTTTGAAGTGGATGCATGGTTATCGTTGGTCGCGCCGTTTCACGGTTGACCGCTGACGGGGGAAGGGGCAAGTGGCCACCCCGGGAAAAGACTCTCTCTCTGTTCCACACCACAAACAACACACACACAGACAGTGTGTGTGTGCGTGTCTGTGTCGACGTATACCTCTACCGGCCGCTACCTCCCGCGGCGGACCCGTGGCTTGGCCGATCGCTCTCGCTCATTCGACGTTTGGTTTCTTTCTCTCCGGAAATGTTGTTTCGTGTTTTTTGTGTTTGGTTCTCTCTGTTTTTGTTGTGGATATGCACTCAGGAGACTACCTGGTCCCGCGTCGTTGGACTTGTTGTCACAGTCACCATTATCCCCCGAGCTAGGTGCAAATGAGACAGCGGTGCTGGATGTGGCACCAGGGACACCGTCGCCTGCATTCTTGACTGTATAAGTCTGTGATGCCTTTGAGCACTTACCTGCTTTGTCTGCATTCTTCCCCGCCTGGGTGCCCTCAGAAGCACTCGCCGGAGGTGGAGGTGGGGGTTGTTGTCCAGGTCCTTGTCCTGTGGATCCTCCTGCGGGTTCTGCCTGGGGTGATACGGGTGCTGGTGGTGGCGGAGGTGGGGCCCCAGCTTCCTCTGATCTTCCTGCGGATGCTGCTTCTACCGGTTTTGTGGTTGCCGATGTCGTCGCCGCCGGTTTCGCTGCGCCTGCAATGAGGACAACGGAAGAAAGATGGACGAAAAGATGATAAACAAAAAAAGGGACACAAGTGGTACAGAAAGAAGGGGGCCGGGACGGTTCGATCAGGTACCGGCCGTGTCGACTCGATGGACTGCGTACTCGGTGAACTGGGTTGCGATGGTAGCCGTACAACTTTTATGTTGTTGCCGTCATCTCCTCGCCGCTACCGTCGTGACCGCCGTGCTCATCGCTCAACCGAAGTGGGGCACCTAAGGGATGCGCTGTGGCGCGCCGCGTGCGTGCATGTTGTTGTGGCGGTATCCATCCGCAGTCTTATCGGTACGTGGCGGCCGTATAATACGTGTTGGGCCGCATTCGTGCGCGTGCCGTATTGGTGCTTTCTCCCTATCGGTCCTTACTTGACGTGGCCTTTGATGGTGTGGTTGCTGCATTGGCGCCGGCTGCTTGTGCATGAGCATTCTTCTTTATCTGTGCGTCTAATGCGACTTTCACTGTCGTGACAGCTTGTTTCATTTCATTCTCTATCGCGGCATCCTTTGGGTCTTCTGCGTCGTCCACAGAAGGATCCGGGGGTGCCGCCCCATTTGACGCCGGTAATTTGATCTGCTGCGGCTGCATGTCTGTCTTCATGGCAGTCAAAATTTCTTGTGCGTGCTGCTTCACTGTGTGTTTCATTGCGTCATCCCTGTTCTGTTGAGCCTCTTGGTGCTTTATAACTCCGGCCTTTTGCAGTTGTTCCCTGGTCTTTACGGTTCCTCCCTTACAGCCATCGTGTATTTTCTCGTCATCAAGTTTCTTCTGCATCTGTGCATTCTTCTGTAACCATGTCTTCATCTGCTGCCTCATGGGCCAGTGCCCTAATTTGATATCCTTGTACATACCCCGCTTACAATGCTGTTCCCCCAATGTGTCCCGTAACGCACTCCCCATTATGTTTGTTGTGTACCATGCATAATATGTGCCCCACCAACCCTCGCATCCATATGTCCTCAGTATCTCGTTATATACGTCCACAATCGTGCATCTCATTATGCCCTTTATTTCCTTATCCTTCCCCTCGTTGTCCTCTGCGTTTTTCCGTGCTGCGTCACTCCATGCGTTCGCAAAGTATATCGCTTGCGTCATGAGTCTGCATATAACTCTTTCTTTGCGCCTGGTCATCTCCCTTGGTGGTTGGTCTTTCGTCCCGTGCTCTAGTGGATGCTGCCAGTATGCATTCTCACAGTTCTTAGCATTGTGGTACTCACTGTCAGCGTTCATATGCGTCATAAAATGCGTCAGTTGTTTTTGTATATCTTCCCATAACTTACTCTGCGTTGAACACAATGCACATATATCTATGTGGTCGCACAGTATTATTCACCAACCGTGGCAAGCATCTAATTATATGTGCCCATTCCTTGCTTTTACATGTAAATGTTCCGTATGCGGTACATATGAAGCACGCACATGTCGGACATGCTGCCTCGCTGAAGTATGCTGCTCTTATACACACATATGTGCTTCCTGGTGCACACCGCCGCACTCGGCCTGTATGTATAGGAAATTACCTGAAAATTCCCAGTATGCTGCGTCAGTTGCCTATGCGTCGCATACTCTCTCAATATACTCGCTAAAGTTCCTGCCATTCTTGTCGCATCATAACAACATAGAAAAGATCATGCCTTGCAGAATGCGCGTACCCGTCTACATATGTTGCACAATTGCATTACGTACAATGTCTACGTATCCAATGTACTCCTGTATATCCAGTACACAATAACATTCTACGGACAGGATTTCAAACATACACGTTAAAAGGGGATATGTACTGGCTGAATTCATATAACGTATACCTACATATGTACTCCTTATCCTTATATACAGAAAGCGGAGCAGCACAACGAACCATAATAAATACGAGTAAAAAAAACAACAAAAATAAGTTAGAAATAAATTACTAAAAAAAAAAAAAAAGAAACAATTGCACGACACACATCATACCCGTACAAATGCATAACAACATGTTGTAAACAACAGATAGAAGACTCTCTCTCTCTTGCACACATGAAAAATCTGCCCAAGT